CTCATCCAATATAAGGCGGTTTGAAGTATTATGCATACTATCTCTGTCCGGATAAGGCATGGATGAATAATCACGAAGACTTGCGCCGCGAATTCGCAACATAGTCTCAATCTCAGCAAGGGTGAGATTCTTGATAGCATCTTCACTAAGTCGCAAATCTATAATGTTTTATATATATAAAAAAATTAAAAATGATAATAAATATAAAAAAAAATTGAAAATATATAAAAAGAATCTTTACCGTCGTTATTGAACAATCTTCGTTGTCTGTATAAAATGTCATCAGATAACAATATCCAGCAACGTTGCCATACGTCATCTGGTCTACCCATAGAACCGGAAACCAACAATGACACAAACATACGCCTAAGAGACTCCGCAGATGCCCAGTGATTTGCTTCAGTTATACCATCTATGAACTCTTTGTCATCATCCAACAATCCGTGTTCGTAGCAAGCGTCTCTATAATTAAGATACTGGACGTCACCAATTTTCATGTAGTCCTCGTGGCATGTAGCACCGCGAACAACATTTAATAGACATCTCAAATAGTAATTATCTCCGCAACTAAGGTTCACATGGTTTAGGCAACCTATTGTACCATGTTCCCTTCTTCAAGGCCTCCACTCTCTTTCTTTTGCGTCCCAAACAAATTTCGACGGTGCCTCAACATAAGTAAGCTCCCGAGCCTCTGGGTACATTTTATTCGCCTCGAACCATGCAAGGAATTGGCTCTCATTCACAGTTGGTTTGTTCAAAACATCCTCTAAATCATCGTCATCTTCGAAAATAATGTTACTTCATTAACACCTACATTTTATTTTTCATTGTAAAAAATACTTCTTAAATGATGACCAAGAGGAAAAAGAAAATAAATAGTTTCATAGAAAAAGATATGTAAATAAGAATCATTACATCCTCGTAAAACACCAGTAGTATGACTACTAAGACTTGATTGTTCTAAATTAACTTGAGGAATAATTCTTGAGTCAGGCTCGTCATCACTTGTGAGATCAATGACGCTCGTGTCTCCTACAACACTCGGTTTGGAAAAACATGTTGTGGTATTTTTGGTAGTAAAATTTGATATCGGAGCATGACTTGATTGTATAGTATCTGCAAAATCAATTGAAAAAATAAAATATAAGTATAAATTTTATATAATTATATAATAGAATTAAAACATAAACTTACTCCAAACGTTGGAATATATAAAATTTGATGGTGTTCTTGACGGAGCTGTTACAAAAGATGCAGTGTAAATGACAAATTCAAAAAAAATCTAAAAATAAAAAACAATGATTTAAAGTTTTTAACAAATAAGTATAATTATTTATAATAAATACTTACCATCTGTAATATTCGATAGTAGTGCGCGCTGCATTATATATTCTGAAGGCTGATGAATCATTGACTTATCTGAAAGAAAAAAATAAAACAAAGTAATAGTTTATGTACTGAGTACTGACAATTTATAACAATTAACTTAATCTTAATTGGGAATATAGTTTAATTATTTATTTATGTAGATATATAAATAGTCAATACATGTGTTATCTCTTTTTATCTTTATTTTAAATAGATAAGCAAAGCAACTAATAATAATAATAATAATAATAATAATAATAATAATAATAATAATAATAATAATAATAATAATAACAGAGAAAGGGGCCAAACGAAGTGCAATAACCAGATTCCCAAAATTCCTAAATTGTACGGGCGAAATCTGCTCCCCATAGGCGTCGCGATTGTTCGCGATAATTGCAGCGATCAGCGGAGGACGGGAATTCCACTACGACGACCACGGTCGGCCCTACCACAGTCCCAAAATCCCTAATTAATCTGGTGCAAGAAAATCGCGCTCGCTTGCCTTTCTAGCGGCCATCTGCGGCGGCGGATCGGACCTCCGCCACTCCGAGTCTCCGAACACGGCTTGGTCGAGTCTCCGACCACGGCCTGACCGAGTCTTTGACAACGGCCTCGTGCGGAGATGCGAGAAGAAGAAGAGGAAAAACAACAACAACGTTTTCTTTCTATGATTTTTTTTTTGGTTTATAGTGTTGTTCCCACCCAAATTCAGAGATGAAGAACCATGATGCTTGCTATAAAAAAGGTAAAGAACATATTTATTTATATAATTACATGGGTGTTTATGACTCTTCCTCTGTATGAATAATCAATTTGATAAACTATAAGTTTCATATCATGATACAAAAACCAAACAAATTATTACCTGGAAAAAGATTTAGGGTTTTTGGTGTAACATTAATTGTGTGTTGTAGGTAAAACTTAATAGTTGGATGAATTGCAGACAAAAGGTAAAACTTAATAGTTTTTAGTTTCATAAATTAAAATTTTGTACTGAAGGTTTCAGCTTACATGGAATAAAAAAAAAAAAAACGAACACAATATAACCTGGAAAAAGGTTTAGAGTTACTGGAGTATGCATTACCCTCCAATTCACCTCGATGTTTTGCATCTTTTTTGTAAGTTCTTCTTGCTGCTTCGTGTCCTCTATGCATGTTTGATTACTCTTCAGTTATGTATCTGCTGCTGTTGAAAAATAAATTATTAATGGATTAGAAAATATTTGAGATTGAGCATGAAGTAGAGAGAGAGAGAGAGAAAAACAGTTACGTAACCTTCAATTTCGTTGCTCTTGAAAAGTATAATACCTCGAATGAGACTATATATATATATATATATATATATATATATATATATATATATATATGTATATTGGTAGTGGTTATGATAAGATAGACATGTAATCTTACATGTGTTCGTTTCTTGTCATTATCAGATTATTACTTAGATATCTGATCACATAGATTTAATGGGAACATAATTATTGAATAATGTTTAGATATTTTTTCCTTTTCAATTATCACGTGTGAATAAAGTTTTATATTTCTTTATATTATTTTTCTATTTATCACATGTGAAAAAAAGTAGGGATGTGGTTTATCTGATGGATGACATGCAATGCAGGCTTTTATGTTTCACGGGATAAAGTAAAAAAGGGATATGCAGGGATTTTCTGTTTCACAAGATAAAGTAAAATAAAGATGTGGTTTATCTCAAAGAGTTTGTGTTGAATCAAATTCTTTAATGATGATGTTCAAAATCTTTAATCATGGGTTCATACTATTGTCTGAAAATTTTTCCTACTAAACCGTCTAAACAAATTAATGCATAATTTTGGTTAGCGATAATTCATAATCGAATTGGTTAGATAATTAAGCGATAAGTAAGACGTGGATTTGGTTTGAAAATTAAGGCACATTTACGAAAAATTAATTCCTTTTCGGATTTTATTAAGAATTTCTACAAATGGAAAGTCAAAACATTTTTGACCAAAATTTTGAAACTTTCCTCAAATGAATTAATTACTTACTTCTTTCAATATATACTAGTACAACACCTGTGTATTACACGGGTGCTTGTTCAAAAATTATATATAAATTTTAAAATTAATGAGAAAACTATATTAAATTTAGTTTACTTTTTTACCAAAAAAATATATTATTGTATATTTTAGAATGCTATGTGTTACTTATGAGTTACATGTGTTATATTATATTAGTTTTTATAACTTATATCATATAACTACTTGAAATATAAATATATTAGTTGATAAATAATTTTATTTTTCTAATTAATATTAAAAATTATTTTATTATTGTTATAAAGATAAATATAAATTATTTTTTTTATACATACAATATGGATGTTAAATCGAAGCTCATCAAAAGAAGATTAATTGGATATATTACATATGTAAAACTGATAAAATATACAAAAGTTCTTAACTTTTATAAAATATATATACAATTCAATAGTTATAATAAGAAATAATATTAAAATGCAATTAATACATTTAACATGACCCTAAATAATCAACATATTTTTGGTAATCCGAACCTAATTATTTTTGGTTTGGAATTAAATTAAAATTTACTCAAGCCTAATAACGAAGCATGTAATTTTGCCACATAGGATTCCGAAGCACCAGAAGCAGCCACGTATGCTCAGTGCGTTCTGGATTAATATATAAGGAGAAGAGGATAGATACCCATGCATAATACACATCCATGAAACAAAAAAAGAGGTATATCCCAAATTACTATTTTCATTGTTCTAAAAATCGGCCTAGGCGGCGCCTAGGCGCTAGGCGGTGTCTGGGCGCCTTCGATTTGCACAAATCAACAAAAAAAAAAATCGACCAGACGGCTAAGCGGCCCTAGGTGCTCCTAGGCGGACTTGACGGGCTCGGCGGCCAGGCAAGTTAGGCGGTGCTTAGGCGGGCTCGGCGGCAATTTTTCAATTTTCTTTTTTTAAATACTAATTACATTATTTTGTTCTCATGTTTTCTTCAAAATATATTAATATTATTATTTGGACTTAGGTATGTCGATTTATTATAAGTTGAGTTGTTTTGTAAGCAGATAAAATAAATAAAAAATAAGGTATTTAATATTGATTTCTAGGCCGCGACTAGGCGCTAAGTTCTGGCCGAGCGCTTAGCGGACGCCTAGCGACTTTTAGCACACTTCTATTTTTCAAGCTATGATTTTTTTTTTATAAGAGATTAGAAAGTATAATAAAGTACATTTAAACTATAAAGATAACGAACCTATTTAAAATCAAACGGTTTTGTTATAGAGCCATCGGATGACTCAGCTTATGGAGTCATCCACTATTATTCACAAATTATGTATTGACACATTTCCTGCAATAAATGCATATTAGACATGTGTCATTACATAAAAAAAAGGTATATCCCAAAATTATGAGCTTCTCATCAAAAAATTGTGCACGACCCAAATTGCCCCACGCCACGCCCAACACCCACCACAATCATCAAGAAAAGGATTGATCTCACACTAGACTAGAAGCATTGCATTCGAGCCACACAAACAATCTTTTCATTTTCCACACAACACCCATTTTAATTAGAGACTACTTAGGCCCTCCTTTCTCTTCACACTTCCCAAATGGCCATTTTGCCTCAACGCCCACCAATCCTCAGGCCACATTTCCCCCGCGATATCTCTCGTCTAATTCCGCTTCAAACACGTGTCCGCTGCTCGGCAACCGCGCCCGCCAAGCCCGTCCAGCGCAGCCTGAAGATCGGCCCTCGGACACCTCGGCCGCCACTCCCCAACCAGTTGTCCCTGAAGTCGACATGGTCTCACCGGGCGTGGGTCGCCGGAGGCTGCACCACCGTCCTCATATCTCTAGCAAAGTCCTTCTCGGGTGCCGCCAGCTCGCACGTTTGGCTCGAGCCAATCCTGGCCGGTCTTGTTGGGTACGTGCTGGCCGATCTCGGCTCAGGAATCTACCATTGGAGCATCGATAACTACGGTGGCCCAAACACCCCGGTTTTCGGACCTCAAATCGAAGCTTTCCAGGTAGTGGCAAAATTCTAATGTAGTTCTTCTTTATTTCCCATTTTGCGTACAATTTAACTCATCAGTTATCACTAAACAGTTCCATTTTGGGGGTTATTATACAATTAATTAAACATGCGTTACCGGAATATCCAGGGACACCACAAATGGCCGTGGACGATCACGCGCCGCCAGTTCGCCAACAACTTGCACGCGCTGGCGCGTGCCGTCTTTTTCGTCGTCCTCCCCGTAGATCTGGCGTGCGAGGATCCGGTCCTGCTGGGGTTCGTGGGCGCGTGCTCCGGGTGCATCATGTTCAGCCAGCAGTTCCACGCGTGGGCCCACACGACCAAGAGCAGGCTGCCGCCGGTGGTGGCGGCCCTGCAGGACGGAGGGGTGCTGGTGTCGCGGTCGCAGCACGCGGCCCACCACCGGCCGCCGTACAGCGGCAACTACTGCATCGTGAGTGGGGTTTGGAACGAGGTTCTGGACGGTTCGAGGTTCTTCGAGGCTTTGGAAATGGCTATCTATTTCAGATTTGGCGTGAGGCCGAGGTCTTGGGATGATCCCACCTCCGATTGGGCCGAAGATGGACGAATCACGTCTTTGGAATCACCATAAAACCATTGGAAACAATTTTTTAGGTTATAAAAGATAGATTAATATTTACTATATTTGATAATTTTTATTAATTTAATTTATACTATTAAAAACGAGCACCTTCACTTTTTTGAACATGATCATTCTTTTTTTTTTTTTTTTTTATAGATAAGTTGCACTAATATAATATTTGCATCTTTTTTATTTTGTTGGAATGAATCTGTAACACTCCAAACTCATGTCGTTCATTTTATGCTTAGTATTATTTTTCATGGATATTTTTTATGTTTAATTTAATGATTTATAAAGTTATTTTTATTTTTATTGTAAGCTCGATTTTATGTGATAATTAAGTGAGTGTCCACACTCATTTATTTATCAAGTTAATGATTAAAAAGGGAATTATTTAGATGTCCTCATCTATTTAATTTTTCCTAAGTATTAATGCAATAATGATATAATTTTAATTATGAAATGGCTTAATTTAATTAATATAATTTTAATTTATTAATGAAGATAATAATTATTAAGATGATAAATTGAGCTCAAAATCAGTCCAATAACCCTATATAATTTCCCCTAAACCGTACATGTGAGAAAGAGGAAAAGACTTTTCTTTCCTACCAAGTCATAGTATGATGGAAGGAAATCAAATGTCTTATCACATTAGGAGTCCTAAAGCCACTCCAAATCTTTTTAACCCCTTCCTATACAGAAGGCCTTATACCATAAGAGATTAATCTTTTCTGATCGTAAACACCTCCTCCTCTCAAAATCTCTTCCTCTCTTAGGCTTTGTTTGGTTCGGAGGAAACGGAGGGGAGGGGAAGGGAGGGGAGGGAAAACTTTTAGTTTTCCCTTGTTTGGTTCGATTTTAAGTAAGGGGAGGGATTAAGATTTTCCCTTCAAATCCCTTGGAGGAGGGAAAATACACACCCCTCCAAAAGTGGGGGAATTTGGAGGGGAGGGAAAATTTTTAACATCAAATTACTCTTTTGACCTTATTGTGAATTATTTTTTTTTTCTTACATCATTAAGGATATATTTGTCATTCTAACATTATTTTCCCTTCCCCTCCATCTTCTAACCAAACAAGGTTAATCATTTTCCTTCACCTCCCTCTCTACAAAATCCATCCAAACAAGGTAAAATATTTTCCCTCTCTTTCCCTCCCCTCCCCTCCCCTCCCTTCCATTAAATTCCCTCCCCTCCCCTCCCCTCCCGTGAACCAAACATAGGCTTAAATCGTGCGAAAAAAAAAAAAAAAAAGAACGGGTCCTTTTCTTTTCCTTTCACGAGCGAGCCTTCTTCCTTCCGACCAGCACCAGCCCCTCCCGCTCGCGACGACCAGCAGGTACCAGCGACCACGTGAAGCACCAGCTCCTCCCATGAGCAGCAACCAGCAGCAACGAGCCACGCCCGACGATTCCCGCAAGCCTCACGTCAAGGCCCCGTGCACGAGCGAGTGAAGCTGAAGTCCCAAGCCGTTTCGTTTTCTCGTTTCTTGAGCGAGGTAAAACAGCCATGATCCTTTTCCTTCTGGCCGAGAATTATGAGTCTAATGTGAATTCTAAGAGATTGATAATCAAGAGGAAGAATTCTAATATTTTTTAATTAAGAATTGACTACTTGGTTTGTGTATTATGTGCTTATGTTAATTGTATAGCATGAGTTGAGATTGATGATGAATTTTATGTGTTTAAAATGTGTTATTAAAATGTTAGAGTTCAAGTTCAAGGCTGAAGTGATGAGTTGAGGAGTTAAAAGTTTTATTGTTCAAATATGGTTGATGAATTCAGATTTCATGGCCTCTGTTGTGAGCCGTTTTTGACAATCATGAATTCGTTTCTTGGGAATGTGTTCTTCATGAGATATGTGGCAAATTTCGTTATGTTTCTGTAGGTTTTAAAGTCGTACAATTTCGACTTAGAACGAATAAGTTATGATTTTTACAAAATTGACTGCGCGAGCAGTTTTTCTTAAATCCGGCTGCAGTTAGGTCTGGATGTTTTGTGTGTTTATGATATGATAATGTGCTCAAATGAACCTGAAGTCTTCATTGAAATTGTAGTTCTATGTGTTACCTTTCATGTGGTTCTGGAAACAAGCAAAAATATGGTCAGAGTGGTGAATGATACCTGTTTTCGTAAAACCGCGCATGAATTTATTTTAAAGTTCTGGATAGTATTTTAGCTTTGAATGTTTGCTGGTTTTGGACCATGTATATGACCTTATTTGCTTTTGAGTGCTAAATGAAAGTTGTAGGTGCATGTTTTAAATTTTAAATGCCACTGGTTTCACGTTTATATCATTTGTGTACTAAAAACTATACTTGTTTTACTACTGCTGGGTATGCTGAAATTTCATGAACTAAGTGTGGTGATTTCATAAATGGTATACTCCTTCCTTTTTCTTTTATGTGATCTGTTTGAACCAAGATGACCTCTTTGAAGTTATCATGAATCTTAGATGCAATTTAAGTCTTTTAAGCAAGCTAAGTCATCAATCCGCCTAAACATTAATTAAGAAGAGTTTTCAAAAGAATGCAAGCAAGGCGAAGCCAAGCGAGCAAAGTTTTTCTAAAGCTTATGTATGAGTATAAGTATAAGAATAAGTTCCATGTTAAGACACTAAGACATGACCCTAATGAATGTAGTTTTACGAGGAGTCGAGCCCTCGAGATTTCTTTCAAGTTCAAGTCTAAGCCGAGCATTCTACTGAAAAGGTGGGGGAAGTTCTACTTTATTAATCCTCTTTAATTATCTATGCTATGAATGAAGTTAAGTAGCTTGCATAGTACCCATATTTATTCAATGTTCCAACATTCGAGCAAGTCGTTTGTTGCAGTACCAAGGTTCACGGACTATAACTCTAGAGGGTAGCTAAGTGCTGGGGTTAGAGGGTGTAAGTGATTATGTGTAACCTTCGTTGGTGCACTCTTCGAACGGTTGTCCCCGTCGATAAGACTGTACGGAGCCTAGTGAAAGGCTATCTTCCTTCAACCTATTGAAAGGTACTCTCATCAAGCCTAATTGGCCGTGCCATCTGCGAGAGACATTGTTCTTCCACCACCCTAAAGTGGTATAAGAAGTTTGATGAGTGGTGGGAGTGTGACAAGAATATAATCGCCTGCATGCAAAGACTCTAGTGTTTAGTTGTCAAATAGTGTTGTAGAAGCAAGAAAGTCTTTCGACTTGTGGGTCACCACTCGTCGGGAGCTCATGATTATGTGGAGTATACGAAAATGATTTCATGTTTTATAGTTGATTAGGATGATAATGTAGAGGGATCTCTCACGGAGTAAGTGGAAATGCTCACCCCATTTATTTTCCACACCCAGGTTTTTGGCGAGCTGGCAAAGGAGCGATGGCGAGGGTGGTCACATGTTTTTATGTTTATGATATTTATGTTTTAAAAGCTTCCGCTATGCAAAGTTTATTTTATGAAATGAGTCATGGTTCATGTAAGTCTAGATAAAGTGTAAGTTCTCAAGGCAACGCCATGGAATGTTCTATGTTCATGTATGAAATGTTTATGTTCATGAAAAGTTTTAATGTTTATGAAAAGATCATGTATGAAAAGTTTTTCAAAGTGAGTAGCACTCTGAGTTCCAAGTAAAGTTTTCAAATGTTTTATAAAAAGAAAAATTTATTCTAGAAATTCAATGTACGAAAAGCGGGGTGTTACAGAATCTCTAGTGACATATTGTCCATTTTGTGTTGCATTGGATGGATGGGGAAAAGATATTAGAAATTCTGTTTCCCATGATTAATGTTATAAAATGATTTAACTTGACATGTTTAAATTATAATTGTTTGAAAAAGAGAGAAAAATTAAATAAATAATATAATATATAATAGAAGTTAATTATAAGTACTTCTGTATCTGGAAAGACTTCTATAATGTTTATATGAATATTTATGTTAAAATATTTTAAAGACAACTTTTTTTTTGTCTTATGATATTTCAAACTTGTCACAATTATCAATAATGTCTAAATAAACTATATTTGACATTAAAAATAATTTAAAATAATGAAATCGAAAATAAAATATTACATGTAGAGTAAATATAGAGATAGAACTTAATTTTTGTTTTACTTACTTTAGAATAGAATAGAGTAAACTCTACAATAAGAGATTATAATTGAAGATGGTCTTTGTTAGGCCGAAAATCATGAACAACTACAGAACCGGTAAATGAGAGCTTCAATCGTCCTTGAACCACTGAGACTTGCAAGAACTCAAACAACGCGAGGTGTCCTGGCGAAGAGCCCTCGATGCTTCAGTCAATACCACAAAAATGGAACTCAGATCTATCTCTAGAAAGGCTATATTATGGAAAGTGTATAGAATGTGGAAGAAAAAGTAAGGTTGTAACTTAGACCCTTTTTATAGGGGAACTACCTACTCGTACTGCCCTCAGTCAGTCTGTCCAAGCTGCCCGAGGTTTGATCCTATCTCTATCTGAATCATATTTGAGACATCTCCAGATTCCTTCTTATCCACTTATTACTCTTAAATTATACTTCTATAATTGATATATCCTTTAGGTCTCGCCTAGACCTCTTCAGGTCGCCCTTTTTTCAGGCCTCGTATAGATTTCCCCATGGCACCCTTTTCTTCGGGTCTCATCTAGATATCCTCAGGTCGTCATTTTCTTTAGACCTCGTCTATACATCCTCAGGTCATCATTTCCTTCAAGTCTCACCTAGACCTCCTCAAGCTGTTCTTACCTTCAGATCTCGCCTAGACCTCCTCAATTCGCCCTTTACTACAGGTCTCACTTACACTTCTTCACAAATAAATTCTAGTTCACAAGTAGGGCTATATCAATCTTAATGTGTCATTTTCTGTGACCATATATTATAACCATTCTCTCTCTCTCTCTCTCTCTCTCTCTCTCTCTCTCTCTCTCTCTCTTTTTATAATAAACTTTACAATAAGAAATGAGATAATGATTGGAAATGGTCTTCATGTATCATATTTTGGGGCCAAATGTTATCACTATGAAATTGTAATTTTAATCATTTGTGTTAATGACCACACAATGAAATTTAGTTTGTATTTAACCAAGAAAAATAATATAAATTACAAAGTCAAAAAACTATGTATAATAAAATTCAAAATTACGTACAGTACAAGTTGCAAAAATTATTTTACCCTTATGACAAGTGGGGATGGGATATTACAGTGTATTATATCACCCCATGCTGATTAGTTCTCTACAGTCTTGAAACTGAGAATAACATAATAAGAATACAAGTGATCTCTTGTTTTTCTCAGCCTGGGGTGGTAGTAATGTAGCATGCATAGCATGGTAACGCAGTTTCTTTTCCCGTTTATGATTTTCTCTATGCATCTTCCAAAATTTTTAAATAGGATGCATACAACAATAATCGCAATGTAAACAAGACAGAAATCGTACACTGATTTATCAATACTGTGCTCTGCTGAAAGAATTTTCAAACGAACTTCTCCAAGATAATCCCTCTCATGAACTCTTCGGGTGCTGCAACACGAATTAGGAGTCGAGCTTTGCTTATGAACAGAAGAATAGAAAAAAAAAAATATGAATTTTCGTTGTTTTCCAAAACATTATAGCAACCTGTTTGGCTGGTGAAAAGACTAAATTGGGCAGCCGCCTGGCGAAGGAACATTTCAACTCCACTGACGACAATAGCACCAGCAGTCTCAGCTTCTTTCAGAAGCCTAGTTTTCCTAGGGGTGTAAACTGCATCGAACACGAGCTTGTAATCCATCAAAGATTCCTGAAAACGAAATAAGGAAATATTTTGAAGGCTGGTTTTCAAGAAGAAACAGAATGTTGTATATATTTCCTATTCTTTTTTTTTTTTCTTTTTTTCTAAAGATACCTTCGGAACAGGAATTCGGTCCACGTTCGGATACATGCCTAAAGGGGTTGCATTTGCAAGGATTGCACCTTTCTCCGGCTTGAAATTTAGCAGATTTTCAAAAGAAAGAGCCTCGCCTGATACTGCAGCAGCTAGAGATTTCGCCCTATCTTTACATTTTCAATCAAGAAAAAAAAACAAAAAACAAAAAAAAGAAGTTGTCAGACAGCATAGCACATTGCTGGTCATTTTTCGCTATGAGATACAAGTTGTCAACTTTTGGCACACGCTTAGGTTCTCAAAGATGCATTATTACTCTACATTTTACAAGGCGGGAGAAGGTGTGAAAATATTGGCCTGAAAGATCTTAGTCTGTCCGAGTTCCGTTTTTCTCTCTTATTCCTTTCTTCTTCTTTTTTTTTTTGCCCCGTCCCGGATTATGCAAGCTCTACCAAGAGACATGTTCAAAAGTCTAAAAGGGATAGCTAACTAGCAATAGATGATGAGACTTGTATTTATTTACAAAGACACTACATGGCAAAACAAGAATTTTGAAAAGCCTTTTTCCACTGTACCAAAATCAATGTCGAAAACAAGAATCCGGGCACCCCTGGTTTTAGCACCAAAGGCCAGGGCTCTTCCGGCACCCCCAGCACCCACAACAACAAACAACCTTCCTTTGATTGGTGAAGAGTGTAGTCTTTCCCGGTTTGTACATTCCTGTACATTATTTTGGAGCATCACAATTTATACCAATTCACTATACAAGGTCAATAAGACACAAAACATGAAAAAATTTACTATGTTACATTACATTTAAAGCATCTTCAATTGCTGATATGGCAGCCTCGCAGTCTGTGTTGTAGCCTATCAGCTTTCCATCACTAGGCCTCCTGATTATTGTGTTTACTGCACCAATGAACTGAGCCAACAAGAGAAATTTTAATATGGTGAATATTTCTTCATATACATTATTTATTATTCAAGATATGTCTAACACAACTAATATCGAAAACTTGCAGAAGTTTTAAAAGATTCATATCAGCCACAAGGAAGAAATTACGTAAATGCTTTCTCTAAGGTAGCAAGATACAAATCTTGAACTGCATTTGGGTTGAGCACTGTGATTGAAATACGCAAGCTAATAACCTGAGCAAGTGGATGCACTTCGTCACAGAAATCAACTATTGTTTCCTTGTAAGGGAATCCAACACTGAAACGTAAAAGCCGAAAACAACATGATGTGAGTTTTTTTGTGGAAGGGAACAGAAGTAGAAAACTCCCTTGAATTTTAATTTATACACAAAAGTTCCTTTTCGAAATGATTGTTAAGATTCAGATGAAACATAAGAATATGTATCCAGGCAAAAGCCGACATACCTGAAACCAGCAAAATCGGGATTAGGATAGACATTGAAGAACGCCTTCAAATCATCCACGAACATAGGAACATATATTCCATTGTAACCCACATATCTAAATGTAGGATTATGCAATAGAGGGCCCTTGCTATGACTTACAGGTTTTGAGATAAGTCCAAAAACTTGAGTATTCCTATCTATGTTCTTCACTCCATAGGCTTGAGCAAGGCTATCTATACTAGGGAGACCTGGAATTGCATGTCCTTCGATATGTCCATATACAAACACCCCGCCAAATTTAAAACTTAGCAACTGACTTATAAGACCTCTTTCCCCTGTACAGTAAGCTATTACGGGTGCCTGCAGGAGGGTACAAAAATTTAATTAATGCAACGGCAATTCAAACTCACATTCTTTGACGTATACATTGCATTTTCGTAAAAGGCCTTTACGGTCTTTGAGTGCAGGCTTTATTACGAAAATGAAATATGACATATATTATAACTGCATATTTTATCATCAGGAATCAAACCTGGCTAATTAAAAGCAGCTCAAAGACATCAACTATTTCTGTAATATCAGCTGCATTCGAAACAAGTTTAACGATATCCGCTTCAGTGGATTGCATTTTTGCAACAAGATGGCTGATATCTTCCTTTGAAGCAGTCAAGCTGTCCAGGTAGCAAGATACTATTATTTTACTGCTCTTAAACTGGCTCAACTTATCTTCTTTGAAGAGAGTCAATGCTACCTGCAGTGACACGGTGAAGACTTCAGTTAAAAAAAATTCGAACCTTTTATTTGAAAAGCATCAGTGCATCACTATATCTTCTGTTGCATTTACAAGTAGTAAGAGTCAATGCTACCTGCAGTGACAAAGAACTGAATATATTTTACCAGAAAACAAGTCAAACAACATGATCTTCTGTTGCATTTACAAGTAGTAAGAGTCAACGTATTTTGATTTTTAAACGAAAGGTGAGTAACTCCAAATGTCGGGCATATACTTGCGATAATTTTACAGGTTTGTTTGTCCAACATTTGCGGCATTGACTATGCACAAGCTCATCCATATGCAATTCCATGAACAGTCGATATAATTTTCGTCAGCCACGTGTTCAAAATAAAACAAACGACACAATCTTGAGAATAAACTCGAGAATCTCAAAAAAAAAAAAAAAGAAAGAAAAATTGCCTAGTTGTTTTCATTTCTTAATTTGATACACCATCGTACGGTGCTTACCCTACCTCGAGTTCCAACTCTATGTACTCAGCCCCTAAATCTTTAGCCAACATAAGAGCTTGCAGCTGCTCCTTTTCATCAACTTCGTGTTGGACGCCGTCCCATGACGACCTATAACAAATCAAATCCAAGAAAATTGGTTATTCCTGTAGTGAGAAAAACAAATAACGAAATTTGGCCCAGGAAATTACACAAGAATGCCCACTTACAAAAACATACTCGAACCGATAAAAAAACGTTTCATTACTTTGGAAGGCACAGACGATCCAACGGATATGCCCATTTCAATTGACCACTGATAAAAATCAGTACATCCGTACGTGCGAATGAACTACAAATGTGCAGTGCATATGAAACAGAGTCCAGAACAATCTTGAAAACAAAAATGTATCTAACGAATTAACTAATACCCATACATTTAACGCTACTACACATCATTCTGAAAACTAATTTCCCAACTACGGTCAGCCGAAAAGCTCTGTGCACTAATAAACACTCGGTACGTTTCCATAATTCCTATGCTATCACACTGGACACACACACGCACACATAAACACACATTCACACAATAAATAAAAATGTATACCAGCAGACGACAGCAACAGGAATTGGCTTGTTTTCCAGCAGGATTTTGAGGTCTCTCGAAGGTTCGAAACTAGGGTTACAGCCCAGCCTGATCTCCACCACGTCAGCACCTTCCATCTTGGCCTGATGCATCTCGTTCAGCGTTTGCTCCGCCGATTGAGCCATTAATGGCGCGCAAATCAGTCTGGGCTTCTCGGGCTGACTGGCCATTTTAATCCCGACTACAAGACGATGGTGGGAAAAGGAGGGCGAATTTTTCACAAAGTTTATCTTGAGGACTCAATGAACTGTGTGCAAGAACAAAAAAGAGTAGTATCATTTAGATAAATTTTTATATTTGAATTGGTGGTAGGTGATGATAAAGAGACCAATCAACGACGAGAAAAGTTGGCGCCAGGCGGGACTCATCTAAATTCGAGTAGTTGTATTTATTTATTAATTTACCAGTGTTGCTACCGTGCGATGCATGGGGTATACTATAAATTAATATTTTATTATTCAAATATCTTAAAATTATTTAAGAGAATATGCTAATTATATTCAACAAAATATTTCTAAGTTGTTATAGGTACTACCATACCCGTCTATTTCATCCAATAATTTAGTCGAATTCAAAGTTTGTCAAAAAAAGTCTTACGTTTTAGTCAATTTAGTCCAATTTCGACCCCGATTGTCCGAATCTGATCAAAAGTTGTTGAGTTGGAAAATTTCTGTGTTGACTAGCCTATTGTGGACTGATTTCTAACAGACTGATGTGTGCACTTTCATTTTTTCCATGTCATCTTTCCTTAATTATTTTAATTTTAAGGTTAAAAAATTTATCTTTGATTTACCCAAACAAAAAA